TCTGCATTAAACTGTTCTCATCAGAAATTGTTCTCTTATTTTGAAAAATGTCATACGTGAGCAAAATGCATCAAAAATGTTCTACTCTGTAAGGATTGTAATCATATTTAATTATTCCTGAAATTATAACTATTATAATGTTAAAGTCTTTCTCACTTAGAAAATACTGGTGTTCTTGAAGCCATAAGCCTTGGTTTTCAGTAAATTAACTCAAACTGTTTGCAAATAAACCAGTAAAAATATGAAAATGGATTAGGTTTTGGACCTACAAAACACATACCAATAGAAAAGTCAATGGTTTTGCTCAAAAATTATCTCCCACTGTTCAAAAGCAGCTCTTTCCAGGAGGCTGCTTTCACTGTTGTCCCACATCCCAACAGAGCCAGTAGGATCCAGGGTTTCAGCAGGTGTCATCAAGCTGGAGGAGCTGCTGCAGCAGAGCCTCTTCAACTGGGAACACAAATGGATGTCAGATACAGCACAGAAAAGCAAAGAGAATGAAATTGGGTGGTCCCATTTACTACTCTGAAATCATTACAGATGTAGTTACAGAAACCTTAGAAAACAAGGAAGTCAAAAAGTACGTAACAGCATCATTAAATCATTTTAATTATTATTTAAAACATCTTTTATGGAGCAATTTTTTTAACTTTTGGCCTCTCAGGCATGGACTGCTGGCATGAAAGATCAGGTTTGTCCTTTTAATGCAGGTGATACAGGCCTGGTTCATCTCCTGCTTCTGTAGCAAAGAAATACTCATTTAAGTTCACCACTCGTCCCTTTTCCCCATGCTCCACGAATCTACTAACTGAGAAGGATGGATTTTGTGTGTGTGTACATGTGCAAGAAAATAAATTATTGCTACTGACACAGAGTGGCACCCAATTCATTAAGAATATGGAGCCATTGGGAACTCCTTTATTAAGAGAGAAACAAAATGAATACAGAGGGAAATTTCTGAGTGTCTGAATCCATAATTCCCTCTGAAATTAAGAGAAACTTTGCAGTGGTGGTGTAGGTCAGCAAAATGTTTGATTCCTCTTTCTCAGTGAAAGGAGAATCTGGGAAGCAAATATTTCTCATTCTGTGTCGTCTTTCAAGACCTCAAAAAATTTCCTCCTCTTAGGAAAATGTGAAATTAATAGGAATTTTATTATTTGAAAATCAAGGGATGGGAGTAGGAAAAGATTTTTAACAATCAAATTTTTTAAAGCAAGTCATATTACCTGTTTCCTTTTATTTTTAACATTTAACTTTGTCAGAATATTCAAACCAGAGATCTGAGTTTAAAAATCTCACACTGCAAACTGAAAAGTACATTAAAAATAGAGAAATTAATTTTGAAAATGTCAGCTAATCCGAAAATTATATATACAAACAACATTTCTTCTAATTTTTTTTTTGTTTGATTTGGGTTTTTTGCTGTTGTTATTTGGAACATCCCACAAACAGTTCTAGTTCAGTTGTGTGGGAACTATTTAAACAGGAAAAAATGCAACTGGTTTGGAGTGGAGCTACTGACAGCAAATATAGGAGATACGAGAAACACAAACGCATGAGTTATTTGCAGTAAAACAAAGTGTAATTTAGCTGTACAAACCCCCTGCCACAGACACGATTACAAATTTCTTTTTTATTTTTTTGAGCCAAATCATAGCCCAAAGCCAGACCAGCTCACCCACTGAGCATTCCTGGGCAGTGCTGAGCCTCCTCAGGCTGGTCCAAGCCTGGCCCCAAGAGAGAATCACATTCCCCACCAAACCAGCCCTGTGATGATGCAGGGACTGGGAGCTGCTTTGGTCCTTGGGTCTGGCCTGGACCTGGGCTCTTCCTTCATCCCTCTCTGGAGGCCCAGGATTCCAGCAGGGCACCTGGGCAAAGGATTTCCCCTGTGTCACCATCCCAGTGCTGCTCCCCTGCAGCCAACCCTGGAGTTCCTTTCTCTTTTATGCCTCTTTTATACCAAAACATCCACCTCAGCACCTCCCAGGGTGATGATGAATAGACCCAAGGTATCCATCTGATCCCCACACCACCTCTCTGGGTGAAGCCAACCCCATCCAGAGGGATAGGAAGTAAAGCCATGCCACTGATGTCAATCACGTTATTTCAGTGCACAACCAGGGTCTGGGTGTGTGGTTGTAGCTTCAGGTGGCAGGTAGAAGGATTTGCCCCCCTCCGTCAGTGCCATCCATCACCGCTGCACCCACGGGCACCAAGGAAACTCCTTCACCAAAGAACCAGCAGGAACATCCCTCCTCGAAACAGGGAGGAACAGCCTGGCACGACTGAAAGGGAAACACAGTCAAAATAGAAAAGTGATGGCCAGAAGCACAGCGGGGCAGCAGTACCATTGCCCAGAGCTTTTCCTAGAAACAGAGTAAGAACAGGCAGACCAGAAACTTCCCACTTCATTCTGACTGTGACTGTAAAAACAACCAACATGAAAACAACCACCATATTCTTGATTTACATGTTCAGCCTCAAAAAATACTATAGAAATCTGTAAAAACACACTGGCAGCAGTGGTTTGGAAGGAGCTGTGCCTGGCAGGGGAGGGCAGCAGGGCCAGCAGCACAGGGCTCAGCAGATCCCTCTGTGAAGGCAAGTGCAACTCCAAATTTGAGATACGGGGTGTGGAAAGAGTATCATCATGCACACCCAGCAGCCACCTGTGAGGTTCATGAGGCACCCAGAGAGCCCAGACCCTCTCTCAAAAGAGGGGATCAGCACCAACCTTATCCAAAACTGGAGCTCAACACTTGGTTCAGCCCACAGCCCACCTCTACTGCAACAGACCAGTACAAGAACACTTTGGATATCTGTTTTCATCTTTTAAAAACTATGAAATAGATACCATTGTTCCTTATTTGTTGTCACATTCATTGTGTGGCCACGTAGATGGTATCACTAGGAACATATTCTGCCATCATTATATTAAAAACCAAAATAATTAATGGAATAATCTGCCTTTCAAGATACTTAGCATAGCAGGCTTTGGAGATTTCAATCAGATTTGGGTGCTTCTGAAAACTATTGACTGGTTCTCAATAACTGTCATTAAAACTATACCTCAGCAAAGGCATCCTTCATCTATCTTTTGCATGCTTTGTCACGTTAGAAAATCAAATCAGCATAAAATGCTTGACAGGGAAGGGAGAAATGTATTCAGATTTAATCTAGTGATTACAGTTCATTCGTTGCAAACAGCTCCTTCATCAAGGCCATCAGGTGAATTATTAACCTCTTCCATCCACAAACAGAAAAATACCTTCAGTCACGAGGAAACAATGCAGGAAAAAAGGTTACCTGGGTTATCTGCAGAAAGGGACATGGCAAGGTTCACTCTGAAGAGGAAAATACTGCTGGGGGCAACAAGGCAGGGAGCAAAGGGCAGACCACTGGTTTTGAGCAGCTGGGGAGCAGGCACAAAGCAGGTAATACAGCTTCTGAGCAATTAACTCAGCACATAAATAGAGCAGCAGTTGGCAGGTACATGCTGTTGTTCCTTCTAGTCACTCCTGACACTGCTCTCCAGGCTCTGCAACAGGTAAGAGGCATTTCTGAGTGCAGGCTGTGGGAAGGGGACTCTCGGCTGTGCTGGGGGGAAGGATTTTAATTTGGACTTTCTTCCAAGCAAAGCATTACTGTGGCAAAGAAAAGCCAAACAAACAGAAAGGCTCTGGCGGTGGTGGAAGGAAAAGCAGAGAGGAGAGGTAGAGAAACCCACTGGGAAGGCTGGAAAAAGGGTAAATGAGGTACATTGGTAAATGAAGATCAAGGCCAATTCGTGGCGTTTTAAAAGGTATATAAGAAAAAGGAGTCAGAAGCCAAAATTAGTTTAAATAGAACGAGAGGGAAAACAATAAACTAAACTCATCCAAGTGCCTGCCCTGCCCTGCTTCTCACAGGGTGCCCATCACTCCAGCAGCAACAGCAGCAGCACTTCACCAACCTTCATGGAGCCCCCTGAAACTCAGCTCCATCTGCAAGGAGGGAGGTCCTGGGATGGCTCCTGGCTGCAGCAGAGCAACTATTTGTTTCAGAATACAAATCACTCCCTACAAACTAATGCAAAAACAGCCTCTTGCTTTACATGACACCCTTAAATCATACTCTGTATTTTGCTATTGTATCAGACTGCTGGGAGATTTGAGAATAAGTAAGAAACACAGAACTTTATTTTTGGCCTATGTACTTTTTAAGAAGTAAAGTAATTCCTCAAAGGTACCCAGAAAAAAAAAATCTGGCATTACGACATGCAGGGGAATTTTACTGAAGGAGCTAAGACAGGTTGCAGGCAGCCACGATTCCCTGTCTGCCTCAGACCTGCTGCTTCATTGACCCCCAGGAGCACCCAGGGAGGGGGAGCTGGACATCCCAGCAGCTCCTGCACCAACTCCAGTCCCAGATGCTGGACGGGTCCTGCTGTAAATGCTCAAGGCAGAAGTGACAACGTAGGTTTGTTTCTTCAATTCAAAATGAATCTGCTGACAGAGGCAAAAACAAAGTACAGGGCTGCCAGGAACAGGAGGACACCTCCTGCACCCACAATCACATCACTTCTGAAATTATTCATTTTGCTTCAAAAAACAGAAACTAGCAGTGGGGTTGTATCAGGCTTTGAGAAAGACTCCACAGCTTGGGGGAAAAAAAAGGGGGGGGGGGGGAGAAAGAAAAAAGCCAATAATAAAAGCATTCTATAAACCAAGTTCATTATGCTGTTACACCAAGGCAAAAAATACCTTTGAAATAAGAGTCACCAGCAGGTCAAGCTTTACACATCTAAAGTGATTGGTTGTTTCCAAGCTGCTTTTACTGCTTTCAAATCCTAGTTTAGAGCAAGGGCTCAGAGGTCTCCGGTAGGGAGGTTTCCCCTGCTTCTAATAGAAATTCCCATTGGCCTTATGGATGTGATGCCAATTAAAGGCAAATGGGGAAAAAAATGAACTGTCTTTCCCTTTAACACGATCAATACAACTGCCAAAAAACAGCATGAATTTAATAAATGCAATGTAGATTGTTTTATTTGACCTTCTGTTCACAAAATAATTTTATTATATGTATGAAAGCAGCATACAGGCAATAAAATTATGAAAACATTCACAATACATAAATACACAGACCTGATGCAGGATGTATATAGTTTGTTAAATTTTTTTTTCTCTCAGTTCTCTTTTCCTGAAAACACATTTTTTTGATATATGTTATGAAAAAGTTGCTCCAAGGGGTATTTTCTGTCATTCAGAAAAGAAATCGATTTCTTTGAACGCTGCTGACTATTAACACCCAATGTTCCTGTTGCTAATGCTCACCGATTGCTTTTGGCATTACAAAGGGAAGCAGCAGGGAAGGACAATGGAGAAGTAGCAGGTTTTTTTAATCAAACATTGGCAACTTTTTTGGAGTTCACAGGAGGATTTTGAGGTGGGGGCTGCAGTTCCATCCATATTTCGAAATGTCTTAATCCAAAATGGTAATGAGGCACTATTCCTTATTGAACGGACTATTGACACGGCAATTACTAAAATGTAATGTCCTCCCGGTTCCCAAAGTAAAGCACCAGGTACCTCACGTTTCAGTTCTGACCGTGATAGAGTAGCAGACAGACAGAATGACCCGGGTGGTCCTGCAGTAACACCAGTGACAACGACGTTTGGCATCTTTACTACCATTATAACCCATTGTGTTTGTTCAGAAAAGATATCCAAGACTTGAAATAAGAAAAGTCTGAGAAAGCTGTTTATCTTACATAAATACAAAACATTATATACTAAGAATTGTTATCTAAGACGCTCTCCTTCCCAAATTGGATTCTTCTTAAGGTTGTAGTCATATTTTAGGTATTTACAGATCCACAAACTTGACATTCTAGCAAAGTCTTTGTAACATGAAACTTTTTAAAAATAAATAGCAGCAATTTCTTTTATTTCTATAAGGGAAGAGAATTCACAACTCAGTCAACGCTGGTCCTATCTTTTGAAAGAAATCCCACTTAAAAATAAAAAAAGCCCACAAGCAAACGAACTCCACACAGCATCGGTTTAGTTGATTCCTTCATTTCTTGCTGAGCTTCTTAACATTCCTCTATTCCCCTCACCAGCTCTCCAGACTATCCGAGCTTGTAATAAAGTGCTGACTGGTTGACTGGTCAAAATGCAGTTATGACACTCCAAAAATATCCCATTATTTAGACATCTTAAATAACATAAATAAAGCTAGATCTGTTATAACATATGAAAAATATCAATTTAAAACAATAAATAAATAAAACCAGTATCAACATATTACCTCCCAAAGCTTTAAAAATAACCATTCTCATTATAAGGCTCAATTATTTTTCAGAAATAATTTTAAGAAGGCATCTACCTACCTTTACAATCTCTCAGTCTTTAATTAGGACCTGTTAACACCCACTATCACAAGACACAGCAATCTTTTTACTTCTAGTAAACATTAATCTTTAAATACTCAACATTTATCTTTTGCCTCATTTTAAGCTGAAAATTGGTTTCTCTGTGTAGAGAAGCAATATTTTCTTTGTCACTGCACTGTATCTAAATTTCCTCAGTATGAACAGTACAGTTTAACATTTTTTTTTAAAACCAGTTTCCAGTATCTTTTTGTGTTTATTGTTTAAAATGTTAAATTTGCTTTGAATGCCAGGAAAATTAATTCTGGGCTTGGTGTAAATGTGTATTTTTCTCCCTAGAGCTTAGTTTCTTACCAAAAAAATCTTGTATTTTTCCCCAAAAGATTATTACAGTATACACTGTTGGGTCTTGCTTAGTAAACCTTACTGTTCAGGCTTTATGCTGCCCATTTTGTGTAATGGGATTGATCTTTTCCAAAGAAACATCAGCTTCGTAATCCAAGATACCCGACAGTGCTGGAGACATTTTCTCCAAGGTCTTAGATAGTTCACCCTCTTCTTCCTTTTTGAGAGGTTCTTCTTCGGGACAGATAATTGAATGTGGAATCAGATAAACCAGATTAGACTCCTTGGGGCTGGACCCTTTGGGCTCGTGTTGGCTTGAAAAAACTACTGCCCCATTGTTGTTAATGCTCACAGTCTCTATGGCATTGCCAGACATCGGGCAGAGCCTGTAGCAGCCCAGCAGGGTCGAAAATGCCTTGCGGAAGTCAGCATTGAAGGCATAAATGATGGGGTTGAGGGAAGAATTTGCCCATCCAAACCATATAAAAACATCAAAGGTGGTGGAATTAATGCAGAAAGCCTCTGCTCCCTTGGATGGCTGGGTAGGCTCGCAGAAGGGAATCATGCAGTTCAATACAAAAAATGGCAACCAGCAGCACACAAACACCCCCATGATCACTGACAGAGTCTTTAAAACCTTTGTTTCCCTCTTGAAGGACATTTTGAAGTTGCTCTCTGGCTGCTGGCAGTCCATACTGCTCCTGTTGCCGCTCGTGTTCTGGCAGTTCTTTGCGTGCACTGCTGCTCTCTCCAGAGCTGAGATGCGTCGAATTTGCTTCTGAGCAATCCGGTATATCCTCGTGTAAGTCACTATCATGATGGCCACAGGTATATAGAAACTAATTAGAGAAGAGGAGATGGCATACATCCTGTTTAGGCTAGAATCACAGTTGTCCGTGCTTACACCTTGTAAGCTGGCATTTAAGTCCAAAAAGCTTGTGGTTGTAGCCTTGTGCCAGTTCAGCTGCACGGGGATGAAGGAAATCAACACGGACAAAGTCCACGCCACGCTGATCATGATGAAGGCTGCCTTGGGGGTCATTTTCCTCTCATACCTAAATGGGCTGGAGATGGCCCAGTATCTGTCCACACTAATGACACAGAGATTTAAGATGGAGGCTGTTGAGCACATAATATCAAAGGCCACCCAGATGTTACAAAATGAACCAAAAGGCCAGAAACCGGCAATCTCAGCCACAGCTTTCCAAGGCATGACCAAAACTGCCACTAAGAGATCTGACACAGCCAAGGAGATGACAAAGAAGTTGGTCACCTTGGACCTGAGGTGGCGAAACCTAATGACAGCTGCACAGACCAGCGTGTTTCCCAGCAGCGTGGAGAGGATCAGTAGCGAGAGGAAGCAGCCTGTGAGGATCCGAAAGGAAGAGGAGTCCCTTTCCGCCAGCAACCCTTCCCCGTCCATAGTGGTGTCGTTCCAAGTCATAGTTTCTCCTGAGGGAAAATCATATCATGATTTTCATGACGACATCAGCTCCTCGCCTTGCAGAGATCAAAGACATCAGACGTCCATTAATTACTCATCACCAAACAGACCAAAGGTCCTTTCTTATAGTCCCTTCACCCCCAGATGGATCTCACCCAATCTGAATTATCCTGAAAAACATCCTGAAAGCTCTGCGAGCAGGAACTGAAAATGCATAAACACAGTCCACCCTACAGACTGGGTTTTTTAGCAATCCCTTCAGAAACACACTGCACCACCCCAGCATGAAGTAGCTTAACTCAGACAGCTCACCTGCAAATGTTCTGCTGCTGTCCTCTCCAAACACACCCCATAGACAGGAAAGCAATCACTTTTCCATGCTTGCATATATTCCCACTTAAATAGACTATTGATCGAGTGTTTCCAGTGTCCATTGCACTAGCCCTTCATATTTACTGAAGCGTATTATACAAAGTGCCTTTTCACTAGTTCCCTAAATGTCTCGCTGATGAAACACTCCATCCTTTCTCCTCAGTAGGTTCCTGTTACAAAATGCATCAGTTCTCTGTTTCTTGGCAGTGTCAGAAAGGAAATCTTCACATTGTTTCAAACTCTTTTACCTTTCCAAGACAAAACACATAAACATACAGTAGGTGTGTTTTAAAGATTTTCAGTAAGAAGTAGCTCAGGTTATTTAGTTTCATTTAAACAAGAAATGCTGGCTCCTACCTTTTACCTCTGATTCTCTGTTTGCTCTGGGATGCAGGGCCGTCTCTCCTCCTCTTTTAGTTTTGTAATTGCATAGCAAATTTTATATACAAAACCAGCACAGGAACACCGCATTGCATGGGGGGGGGTCCCTGAAAGTGCAAATTGGCAGGGGAAAAGTAAGAGTTGGACCATCAAGGAGTTAGTTTTCAAGGGAGCAGCAGGTCTGTGCTGTCAGACCGTGTGTGACGGACCATGCTGGTGCGTGCCCAGCTCCCTCCATCCCACGGCCCCTGCTGATCACTCTGCAAACTTTGTTGGCCAGATCAGTTCCAGTCGCACTTTGTACATCCCGTGGAAGTGGCACATCAGGGCAAATCATCCCAGGCAAAAGGCACGGTATTTTCCCAACACTGGCAAGAGCCGACTACCAGTTCTTTCTACTGCCGTTCGCTGGATGCAAAAAGAAGGGCGAGAGGAGGAGAAGGACGTGAGTGGCCTTCCCTCGGCCACAACGCCGGCGGTGCCCTCAGTGGGTTCCTCTTCCAGCAGGGACAAGTCGCTTTAACACTCCACTGCCAGGTTATAGCTCTCCATAACTACTCCGGAATAATCCCACCTCCTGCTCAGCGGGGTTGCGCTCCAGGGATCGGGTCCAGCTCTTACCATGCTTTTTCCCTCTCGGAAAGGCGCAGGCGGAGGCAGCTCCTCATTCTCTCCCGCAGCCCGCCCCGGGCCACGCATCTCCCGGCTTCCTTCTGCCCGGGGCAGGGCTCGGCAGCATCGCCCCTCCAGGAACGCTCCGTCTGCCTGGCGACTCCTTCCTAAAGGATTAAGACAAGGGAATGACAGGCATGGAGGCACGCAGCGGGCAAAAAGCCACCCCCCTTCGCCTCCTCTAACATCTTCGGTTGGGCGCAGCTTCTTCTGGGCAGCTTTTCCTGCCTTCCTGGGGAAAAACGTCCCGGGCAGCCGGGACGAGAGGCAAAGCCGGGCTCCGGGAGCGGCTCTCCTGGAGTTTAGCGCAGACGGGATTACTTTGCCCGGTCCCGAGCCCCGCCGAGCTGCGGGACGCCCGGGGCTCTGCGCGATGCCCCGGCGCTGCGAGCCGGTTCAGTGAACTGATGCGGACAGTGAGTACCGGCACCGCGCCCCCGCGATGGGCGATGCTCGGGGGGGGCCGCGGGACGAGGCACCGCGGCTGCCCCGACCCGGGGGAACAGCGTTCCCCTCGGGGCGGGCTCGGGAGGGGTGGCCGGGAGCCGCTCCCGGCGCGGCGGGGCAGGGGCGGCGGGAGGCCGGGGCTGGGGGCTCCGCCGGGGCCGCGCTCCCTGCGCGCCGCCCCCCGCCTGGCGCAGCCCCGCGGCTCCCGGCGCAGCCGCGGCCGCCGGGCTCCCTCTCCTGGGCGGCCGAGGGGTGGGCACGGACGGGGGCCGGCAGCCAGCCCCGCCGGGGCAGCGGCGGCACCGAGGGGACGGGACGAGACGCGTCCGCCCCGCGCCCCCCTCCGCGTCCTCCCTGCCTTCCCCCGTCCTTATCCTGCGGGCATCGCTGTCCCGCGGGCAGGCAGGGAGGGAGCGCGGAAAAGCCACAGCCCAGGCTCCCGGGGCGCGTGGCTTCTGAGGAGCCGCATCCCCACTGACTCGTGCGGGTTCAGGCGAGGGCAAAAAGAAGGGACAAACACTGCGGAGTCGCCGGAGCCCCAAACGGGCACCCCCGAGGTGAACCCAGCGGCAATGGGACCTGCCGCTCTCTTCAAAACCATTTTTCTCCTTTGCAAAAATCCTCCCCGTTCAGCAGTAAGCACCAAAACCAGAGCAGTTATTCTTCGAACCCCTTCGTTTTCCACAAGGGTTTTTTCTTGCTTACCTTGGCTGCAACAGGCAGTGAAAGATGAACATGCTGATTTGCAGCCTTTGCATAGGAATCTTACCCCCAATAATCAGAAAATAAATATAAAAGACATCACAGAGAGGTTAAGAAACCTCCTAGAAGAACTAATACTCTAAGCTGTCAACATAAATTTCATGAGGCTCAGCACTAGTGAAGTTGCTTTTGTGCCAACTGGCATTTTTCATAATGCCAGTTAAAGCAGACACAGTGCTAAGCTAACCTTGACTAGTTAACTGAAACACTTATTTTCCTTTCTCCTTCTCTTTCTTTTTTTATAAATTTTAACTGCTTCTCAGCAAGTTCTCATTCCCCCCCGCCCTCCTCCTGCTTATTATCCTGTCCTTTAATCATCATTCATCCTCAGAGGAGGGTGAAAATAGACAAGAAAATGAATCCTGTGCTGTTTGGTAATAGAGATCTCTAATGAAAGTCACTGTGAGTTTTCTCTTTCTATTTTCAAGATTTTTTTGCTTTTGTCTCCTTCTTGAGGCACCACAGGTGAGGCTTACTGCATGATATGTATATTCCGAAAAGGTAGCACACTCTTTTTTTTCCACAGAAACCCTGGGCTGAGGGGAACATTGCTGGGGGGAACCCAGAAGTCACTAAGCACATTTGATTTTATTTGCAACAAATTCCAGAGGCTCTCCTAAAATGACTCTCTGGATTATTCCAGGAGAAATCACAACTCCCAAGCACACAAAAAGCTGAATTTTCTAAGCATATTGCAGAGAAACACTGAGGAACACATTGCAGAGGAGAGACCAGTTTGCTCTCAAGCATCTGCTTATCAGCTCCATTCAGTGAACTCTTTAGTTCTTTTTTACCAGGGAGTGGTCTTTCCTCGGGAAGAGGCTGAATTCAGCACTGGAGGAATGTAATGCTGCTCAGATGAGTGAGGGTTTCAAAGTTTCATTCGACATTAATTTAACTTCCTACCCACTAAAGCCTGTAAGACTCTCACAGGCCCTATTTTTTTGGCAATTCAAGTATCAGTTTCAGAAGCCAGAGCCTGTTTCCTGCATCTTCTTTAAGTTTGTGTGACCAGTTCAGGGATGAACAAGAAGTCTAGATCAGCCCTGACTGCACTAGTGGAGGAAAGCCCCTTCAGCAGCTACAGTGGTTTCAAACACCAGCAGTTCATGCAGGGCACCCTGCTGTACTCATTTGTCATTTCAGCTAATTTATAAGCTTTTAAAACTTTCAAGACTTAATAGTCATACCCAGGTGAGGAACAAAAGTGAAATCCATTAAACCCCTATTATTATTTAAGTAAATTTAGTGGTGGCATTAGGAAGCTGATTGACATGACTCTGGGAACCAGTTACACGAGTGGTAGGTGAATTTTCCTTTTGCTGTTCTCTGACCAACCTGCCCTCAGCCAGTGCAAGAAGGATCAGCTCTCATCCAGGTCTGGACTTGCCTAAAACTGCCAGCAACAAGCTGTTGGTGCAGGTGTTTCCTGGAGATTCAGAAACAAGCACAGAGCTTGTTTAATTCTCCCTGGGTACCAACATAAAACAGCTGCTTAATTTTATGTCATACTTTTCAATCACTTCTGACTGATGCTGGAATCAAAGCATGCCCACCAAAGGAAAGCTTTTGTGTCTCTATTCCCACCCTGTGAGGCACCTGCTCCTGCCAGGGGACTTTGTTTGGAGAAGGTCCTACTTGGTCCGTATGAAGATTTAAAAATATATTTATAAATACTGAGTAGCACCTTGATCCAAATGACCTTCATCCAAACAGTAATTAGCTACTGGAAGACCAAGTCAGAGTTCAACAAAGCCCATAGCAGCGATTCAGAGATAAAACATGCTTTAACCTAAAAAATAGTGCACACACTAGAGCTGGAGAAAGGCAACTGAATTTACAAAATATATCAGTACATGGATACAAATTGTACTTACATCATTCTCGGGGTGCTTTTTTTTGTCTGCATGCATGGGATTTATTAAAAGTAAAATCAGTTGAGGCATGTTATCAGAAATAATGTCTAAAAGAGCTGTCAGGTTTGTAAATAGCTGGTTATACTAATAAGCCAAGATAACTTCAGCCTCAATGTAACATTCTCAGGAAAATCAGGGGTTCCTGGAAATGAAAAGAAATATATGAACTCTTTTAAAGATCACTGAAGCACATTGTTTAAATTGATATTATCATGTTGGCCATTCTACAGGGAAAACTAGAGTAGTGAATAAAAAAGCACAGAGCAAAGAACAGCAGAAGTAAAAACTATTATTAACATCTCCAAGGATCTCAAGACAAGTCTTGAATGATAAAGGTCCATCAGCAGGGAGAAAGGATCATTGAGAGAAATGATTACTAGTCCCCAGACACTGACAAAGAGAGGCCTAAATATTCAGTATTGAGTGTGGGCCCTTTTTTTTGACTGTAGATTATAGGCATGTCCCTCCATGTCTGGGGGATTCAGTAGGGCTGATCTGAAAAAGCACATTAGTGCCCTTTTGATGTTGACTTGTGAGCTATTTCCAATGGCAACCAGTGCATGAAGCATCCCCAGGTATCAATCAGGTCACTGGTGAAGTGTGTGAGGAAATCTGAACACTAACAAGGAAAAGGAAAATGAAAAAAGCCCAGACAGAAACACCATGTATGAAAGTCTGAATTTGAATGACTCATTTGAGGCAGCCAATTCAAGCAGTGGCAAAGCTGGACACAGAGGGTAATGCAGGAGGGTATGAATGGGAAGGATTTGCTGTGCAGTGCTACTGCTTCCTGGGATCTGGAGCTCATGCATTGGCTGCAGGATGCTCAGGAGGCAGGACCAGGCATTGCTGCTCCCCTGGCATCTCCCCTCCCAGGACACTCTTGGAGCTCAGCCCTGATCCCAGCCAGGAGAGCCCAACTCCATCCCTGGGCCACAGAGTTTGGAGCCTGCAGAAAGGATTTCTGCTCTGTGGGAATCAAGCAGCAGCCTTTCAAAAAGCAGCCTCGTGTCACACACAAGCTTTAGGAGTGGTGGAAAACCACTCCTAAACTCCTTGTTTCTAAAGGGGAAGGAGCTGTATTCACCTGCCATCCCCTTCCTGCTCAGAGCCCCTTCAGGCTCTGGTCCCCTTTCCCGCCCTCACCACTGATCTCTCTCTACACCTGCAAATCCAGAGCAGAGCTGGGGGGTTTCAACTGTAACCCCCCAGATTGTACAACAAAATGGCTCTTTTTGGAGAGATGAGGAAGACAGGAAAGAAAGAGAAGTACCAAACCTGCAGCCAGGGATCCGAGCAGAAGCTGTCACCTGAACAGTCCCCAGCCCCAGGAGCTGTGGGTAATTTCAGCTCGGTGCAATGCTGCCAATAACTGTGTTATTTAATCGGCAGAGCTTATGCAGTGACTTTTTATGGGGTTTTTCCAGTTCCACCCACTCACTCCCACAGGACCAGAGAAAGAAAAGTTTCCCACAAGAAACACTTGGAGTGACCTTCCTCTTCCAGCTCGACCTGCTCCATCAATGCAAAGGCCATTATTGGATCTTAAATCACCCTGGAAATTGCTCGAGCAAGGAAACCTAAAATTTCCCCCCTTCTCTTTCTGGGATTTCCATTTGTCAGAGATACGGGGTAGGAGAGGGATTACTGCCCTGCCAACACTTCCCTCCAGAGTGGGTAGAGAGCCAAACTGCAGAGGATGATGAGAATAAATTATAGCTCAGAGGAGAGGAGAGCTCTACGGAAAGAAAAATGCTTCCTCTGACTGCCTCATCCCTGCAGCGCAGCAGAACAGTGCCAGGAAATCCACAGCAAACTAACAAGACCCTTTCTTCAAAACCTAATCTACATCAACAAATACAAAATATCTCAAAATTTCTGATCATTTCACTGACAAATGTAGACACTGGATGTACTGCTGAATTTTGTATTCTAAGCCATGTATATAAAAACCCTACAGGGCTGATTGCTGAGGACCTACTATATGAAATGGCTCATAATCTAGTAAATCAACACAAAAATACAGACTGAGCCATTCCTTCCCAATTTAGGCTTTATTTGCATATGCTTTTTTTTTTTTAAATAGTGTATAGCTTTCATTTTTTCTTTCACTCCACACTGGACAGACATTTTAGGCCCTCAGAAAAAAATTGAATATATGAATAAAAGAAAGTCACGGAAAAAAATGACAGCAATTTTCATGTTCAAGATGGCTTTGACATATTAATTAGTATCTCAGAAATGAAATAAAGCCAGTGATACAGAATGATTCATTAGAATGATATTAATCTGAGGAATAATTAATTCTGAGGGGATGGATAAAAAGCATACAAATAGATATATTAGCTGCAAAACTCTTCAGCAATGACTGTGACAGTGATTTCTAGCAGCAGTGGATGAGACTGTGGATAATACAATTTT